ACACACGTGTATGCACACACTGAATTGGGTCCTCTGTTTGTTCCTTTTAGTAGTCCACCCAGCCTTTTGTTTAAACAAACTTTCAATTAAATATTAGAGATGTTCTTACAGAACCCTGTTCTACATAAATAAGGGTGGTTCTTTTGGTCTCTAAAGCAGCCTCTTATGAATTTATTTGGTTGCTGAATCTGTCTAGACTACTACTATATATTGAAATCCTGCTCATGTGATTATTTATGTCAAAAATAAATCTCCAGGATTTTTCTGGGTAATGTAAATGAAAAATACTATACAAAGGCTGGGTATTAATCTTCTCACACATGCGCACACACACACATGCATGCACAACAGCTTATCTAATAATTATCCATGACTAGACCATGCAAGGGCAAGGGACACTGGGGGATCCTAGTCAGAAGAGGAGGTTCTAGTTAGGGAAACTTAAGGGATTTTTGAGTAACACATCCAGTTGGTGGATAATGTTTAATTAGCAGAGGAAATAAAAGCAGTGTTATAAACAGGGCCGGCTCCAGGCACCAAGCACCCAAGCTGGTGCTTGGGGCGGCACCTGGAGGGGGGCGGCGGCGCGGCGCTCTGGCCGCGGGGGGGGGAGAGCCGAGCCCCAGCCGGGGCTCGCCGCCCTCCCCCCAGGGCTCCGGCCGCCCTGCCCCCGGGGCTCTGGCCGCCGGGGGGGGGAGAGCCGAGCCCCCGCCGGGGCTCGCTGCCCTCCCCCCGGGGCTCGCCTGGGGCGGCGAAAAAGCCAGAGCCGGCCCTGGTTATAAAGAGACACTGAAAACACTTAATGTCTGACCTAATCCTGTGGAAAAATACCAGAGACTGAGACACTCTAAGTCATGCTTAATTTGGAGTTGCAGTCAACAAATAAAAATTTATGGCTGTAACCACCACCTAAGGTCAATATTGAATCAGTGGTATAACTTTTATCTCCCACTTCATGAATAAACATTTTATTTTATATTTCAGATTTTTAAGAATCACACTTCATTTAAGGAATAAGAATATTATAAACAAATAAAGTGTTCTGTACCATATCCACTGCTATGCACTGGCTGCTTTGTCCTACTCTGATGATGCAATGTATGGCTCAGTCAGCCATATAAGCTGAGTTTGCGATTCTTTTACATTGCTAGAGCAGCACAAAGCCACTGGAGCATGCCAATGAATCTGTCTTCTGATTTATGAATAAGGGGGAGCTTTTCAAAGGTACAAAAAGGAACTTAGGTACCCAACAGCCATTGACTTTCAATGGGAGTAACAAATGTGGAAGACATTTGAGGCTTGATCCTGCATACACTTTTTCCACTATCAACTTTGGCAAACAGGATGCAGGATCATGCCTTTACTTTATATTTGGAGGTTTATTAGCAGGCAGTGCCATGGGTCTAATATTAAGATTTACCATTCTTACCAAATCATATGTTTCTTGTGACATAATTTCTATTCTTAATACATGTGATTCTGTAGATGACCATGTATAAAAGAGGGCAGCAGGAAGAGATGAAAAATGAATGGTTGCTTCTATCACAGGTGAAGAGGTGGAGTGAAAACTAAACTGGAAAACATCCTTTCTAAGTGCTATTTTTTTAGGTTTTTTATCACACAGGAACTGGGCGTCTGAACAGATTTTCAGCCCCAAAATCAGGGCCGGCTCCAGGCACCAAGCACCCAAGCTGGTGCTTGGGGCGGCACCTGGAGGGGGGCGGCGCGGCGCTCCGGCCGCCGGGGAGAGCGGGGCCACAGCCGGGCTCGCCGCCCTCCCCCCGGCGCTCTGGCCGCCCTCCCCCCCACGCCCTCCCCCCGGCCACCAGGGGGAGAGCGGCGAGCCCCTGCTGGGGCTCGCTGCCCTGCGCTCTGGCCGCCGGGGGGAGAGCCGAGCCCCCGCTGGGGCTCGCCGCCCTCCTCCCAGGGCTCTGGCCGCCCTCCCCCTCCGGCGCCCTGCCCCCGGCGGCCGGGGGGAGAGCGGAGCCCCCGCCAGGGCTCGCCGCCCTCGCCCCGGAGGCTTTTTTGCCTTGGGCGGCAAAAAAGCCAGAGCCGGCCCTGCCCAAAATAGAGCTTTTTTTGGACTGTTAATCCGTCACAGTAGAATTCCTTTGTTCTAAGGAGTGATTTGCAGACCTGGTACAATAGGGAATGATCAGAAGTTGCAATACTTCATAAAAAAATATACACAGATTTCAAAAACACAATCAGTGAATAAGGAAGCTGAGAAGGAAATCAGGATTGACTCCTTCAGTGGTTGCATATACAAGTTCAGGAAAAAAAGGAGAATTCAGAAACTTCCCTCATCCAGTATATATGTTACAAGTGATGGTTTAAATGGGCCAACAGCCTCATTAACTTCTCTTCTTTTTCACAAGCAGCTCCTTTTCATTGTCATCACTAACTTCTACTCTAGGATGGGAATTTTCTGTCTCATTTCTGTAGTAGTTTTCTCAAATGTGTTCTACATTCCTTTTTCCTCCTTCTAGTGATCACTGGGACTTCTGTTGCTAGTACTCCTAGTGATACAATCTCTAACAAATAATGGAATCATCAGGCTCCAACTGGAGTCAAGTGCTGTGGGAAAGCTACACAAATATGCAAACTTTGTAATTCTAACTGCCATATCAAGCTATAGAGCCTGACTCTGATAATGAAGCACTGAAAGAGATGCTAGAATGGGAGAGGGATGAAGATTCTGGAAAGAAAAAGAATAGAACAAACCGAAAATAAGTTTTGAAAAAATTCCACAGAAACCACAAGTGCTCTCATACTAGAGCAGCAGTTGGGCCCTGATTCAGCAAAGTACTGAGACACATGTTAAAATTCATCCCCATTTAGCAAAGCACTTAATCCCATGCTGAGTGTTAAGCCAATTGAAGTAAAACAGACTTAAACGAATGCTTAAAATTAAATGTGCTTATATATTTTGCTGAATCGGAGCCTTTGGCTATGTCTCCACTACAGACCTTACAGCAGCACAGCTGTACCGCTGCAACTGCGCCACTGTAAGGTCTCCTGTGAAGCTGCTCTGTGCCGATGGGAGAGAGCTCTACTATCAGTATAATTAAACCACCCCCAACGAGTGGCTTTTGTTGGTGAAATTTATGTTGGTCAAGGGTGTGTTTTTTCACACCCCTGACTGACAGAAGTTTTATCGATAGAAGTGTTAGTGTAGACAAAGCCTTAGTGATGACAAGGAAAAAGAACTACATGTGAAGATGAACACCGAGGTTAGTGGTGCTGTTGGTGTGTTCAAAAATTCATATGCATCAGTCTTGCCTTGCAACACATCTCACTGTTATAACCAGGGCCGGCTCTAGGCACCAGCGTCCCAAGGGGCGGTACTTTTCAAGGCGGCAGCACTTTTGCTTGGGGCGGCAAAAAACCTGGAGCCAGCCCTGGTTATAACCTTGGCTTTGCTGAGAAGAGACTGCCATTTGGGCTAAATTATGTAGTGGATTATTTTATGTGGAAAAGTGTTCACTAAGGAATGATGATAGTACCAAACTGTGACCAGAATGGGATTTGAACTCTGAAAACAAAGGTTTGCTACCATCTGTGGCCATGTGTATCTTAGGTCCACATTAGGAAATACATATGGTCTGACTTTCAGAGGTGCTGACTACCAGGAGCTCCCATTGATGTCTGTGCAGCTGCTCATCTCCCTTAAAAGTCAGGGTAATGCAATTGAACAGTTTATAATCCAGTGACCTGATCCTGCAAATATTTTACTCAGTTACATTACTCATATGTAACTTTGCTCATATCTGCTTAATAATCCATGGTTTGGAGTCTAAATGGTGGCCATAACTGATATGTGAACATGCCACAAAGGCAAAAGGGCAAGGATGGATATGGGGTACAGATATATAATTACCTGGCTATTCAGTGGGTGCCGAAGCTTTCTGGGTTTTTTTAACTGAAGTATAAATACGCTCCTTTTTGTTTGGCTCTGTTGAATGAGTTAAATGTAATATTCTTCAGTTAGAGGATGGGGAGGTTGGCTCCCTCCACATTGCCTCATTAATGGTCTCGTTCTGCATATTATGCTTCACATTAGTTCTGTAGATATCAAGGCTTCCTGACTTCTCCTGGGCACGCTTCAAGATGTGCAGCTTTTGGCTACAAATTTCTGGCTGTGCTAATTGTAATTCTTCACCTGTACATTCCACATTGATTTTAATTAGACTTGCTTGACAAACAGATTCGTCCTATACTCCCACAATTCCTATTCTCAATTGTGGTGATACTGTTCTTCTTGACTTTCTGTAGAATATGGGCCAAACTCTGCTCTCCTTTACTCCAGCAGTAATCCAAGGTAATTCCACTGATTTCAGTGGATATACTCTTACCTTGCTACATTATATGTGAGACCTGAATTTGCTTGTATAATTGACAGTTGCAGATATCTGAAGGGGGGAGGATCCTTGTCCTTAATGGATTTTATGTCATTAAAGAATGCATCAAGTGATGACTATGTGACAGGAAAATTACAATTCTAAAGACATGGAAACGAGAATTGGACAAGCATATATTGTCATTGTGGAAATCTGTTAGGTTTGTTTTTTTTTTCATTTTTTTTTATTACACCTCAACAGGGGGATTTCTAAATTTACATTTCCAACATTTTTTCTTTTTTTAAACAAAAAGTAGTTGATGGAATTTTGAGGACATGGTGATTAATCCCAGACACTGTTGCCTTTGGTCAGTGATCAGTCGCAATTTATTTTCTGAAAACGAAAAGGGAGAAAAACGCTGTATTTTCCTGTCTGAAGCCATGAGTTATAATGAATTGTTTTTCATTTGAGCAAAGGCATTTGCCTTTTTATAGGAAAGTGATTTTTGCTTTCCTTTCTTCTGAAATAGGGGTATTTTGAGGTATACAACACTTACATGTATTCTTATTTGTATCAAACTCTAAAATGTCAGTAGTTCAGCTCTCACAGGTTAAAGTGACACCAGCTGTTGTTTAATGGGCTTTCACTTTTATTCTATAGAAAAATGCAAAGGAAGAGGAAGAGCAGGTTCGCATTTTGATTCAGCTCGGAGGCGGAGTAGAGCTGTCCTTTATCATATCTCCGGACACCTGCAAAGAAGAGAAAAGAACAAATTAAAAATTAATAATGTAGGTGTAACGCATATGTTTCATTTCATTTTCCCTCCTTTTTTTGGCACATATGTTCCCTTGCTGCTGAAAGAGCAGCAGATGCGCTCACTAGCTTTACTAATTATTTTTCATTTTCTTTGACATACATATTTGCACAGTTGTTTCTTTTAACGAATACACTGAAAAAGGTCAGCACATACATAAGAGAAATCCCTAATCACAGTGTTGTCATAGCAAGAAGATTAAAGTATATGCCAGTGCAGTGCAGAGCAGCAGGTAGATAGCTTTGGCTGTGGTATTTCATTTGCAGTTTATGAACCCAGACAATGTGTTTAGTCACATTATTTTTATCAAAGGAAAAGGCCTTATGAAATTTCTCAAAACTTAATTTTAGCTTCCAGTTTTCCCTATATAATTGCTTTTAGTATCTTTTGCTAGAAGATCCATGAATAGATTAAAGTAATAAAAACCTACATGCTACAAGAAATTGAGAAGGCGATTTCTCTGAGAATAACATTTGATTTGAATGTATCAAACTTGGTGCAGTACATAACCTGATGTGCTTGTACTTTAATTGCAGTAAAACTCTCTCTGTATTAAGAAAATCCTGGTGCTTATCTCTAAGTAACAATAACTGACAAGTAAGTTAATAAAATACTCTGTGGATGTTGTATTTTTTTTAACATTGTCAGTTTTGTTCAGCATCAGCCTTCTATCATTATATTCCTGACTCCCCTTCCCAGAAGGCACAAAATAAAATAACTAAGTTCTGGGGAAAGCCCTTACACTCTTTTTTAATAGCTATTTTATTTACTGGTTAAAATTTATAACTGTTACCATGATGCCCTATATGTCCATAATCTCCTTCCTATCAATTAATCCCAAAGCATGTCTATATGCTACACTATGACAGCCATTTGCCAAAGTGGTACTCAGAACTTCAAGAGCCAAATCCTCAGCTGCAGTAGACCAGCATCACACCATTGACACTGATGCTTATTTACTCCAGCTGAGGCTTTGGACCCACGTCTCCAATACCTTTTGAACTTTAACCCCATATGGGGGACTCCTTTGTTCCCCCACCTCCACACAGGTGAGTATTCAGAATCTTCTAGAGAATAGTCTTTCTTGGAATCTTAATGCAATAGTACTAGTTATGCTTGTCCCACAACACTCCATGATGCCATATCAGCACATTTAGTCTCTGCTGCCATTAAGCAGGACTCGTGGGTGCTGCCTCTGCCTCCTGAGCCCAGTGAATAAGACTGACTGCCAATTAAACCTTTGCAAAGGAATCCAATGTACATGATCCTAAGAGAAACAGAAACAAGACTAATTACTTAATTTATGTGCTGAGCCATGATATTTCTCAGAATTCCTTAAACCTGAGGGGCCATGACACATCACTGACCGTAATCATATCACTGACATCCAGGAAATAGGTGGATTGCTAAGTGTGGCGATTGCACAGTATTGTGGGAGGGGAATAAGGAACTTACATAAAAGCTGGACAGAAGTGCTGTCCTTGCACTCATGGAAACTCAGAGACTGCTCCTTTAACAACTCCCTTTGGCGCACCGCAAAGGGCACAGGAAAAGGTAAAAAGTTAATAGAGCCATCACACACACCCACCCAAACTTGCTAGATAGCAACTCTGTTTGGCCATAGAAGGGGGAGTATGCCTCACCTTTTAAAAAGGCTTCCTGGTGTATGAACAAATTCTGAGAGGCATACTCAGAGGCACAGTTATTATGGTGCTCTACTGGGGCAATGCAGCTCCTCACAACCCTAAACAAAGGTCTGTGCTTAAATGGCACAACCTAACCCTTAATGATTTGGTCAGTGACCACTGCGAAAACATTGCCACTTCAAAGGAGGACTTACATATTCTTTAGTGCCCACCCTCAAATACTGAATCTTCCAACACTGGGAAGTAGTCTGATTAAAGTAATGCCTCTGATCAAGCCACGGGCTGGAAGCAGACCCCAAAGACAAGCCCCGCTAATTTATGTGTAGTGGTGATAGGAGTCAGACCTGGAGAAAGGAGTAGATTGGGACAATGAGCCTATCAGGGAGAATGGGACTGAAAGCTGGTGGTGGCGGGGAGGGAAATTGGGACTGAGAGTGGGGGTGCAGGGGAGAGTGGACTGGCTTGGCAAGGAGACTTGGCCTGGAAATGAGTGGAGTCTAGGGAGATAAGGTATTGGGTGAGACTGAGGAAGGTCTTTGGGGGGAGAATTGGAACTGGCTGGGTGAAGAGACTGGAGCAAGGAGTTGGTAAAGGAAACAGTGAGAATGGATGAGGAATCCAGGGGTGGAGACTGGGACTGGGAGCCAGGGGAGATGGATATAGACAGATCAGGCAAGGATGGGTGGAACTTGGACTTGCTAACAAGGAGACCGGGGATAGGAGCTGGGGGAAACTGGTAATGACTGGACAAGTAGACTGGGAGTGGAGGATGCAGCCTGGGACAGAGCAGCCAGAGGTGGAGATTACGACTGACTGGCACCAGGCTGAGAAGCCTGAGGATTGGACACTGGGACCGGCTAGATGAGGACAGTAGGACAGGACTGAGGAGGCAGGGTGGGAAATAAGACATGATTGAGAGACAGTCAAGTAGGAGGGAATGGGGCACAAAGAGTCAAGCTTGAGGAGAACAGGCAGAAGAGTCTGTGCCCACAAGAGCATCTCCGTCCATCTAGAGCCTGGGTTGGAACCCAAGATTCACGAATCTCACCATTCCTCTGCTGTCAGCAAGTATCTATGAAGCCCACTGGCAAAGTGTCTCGTCAGTTGTCGCCCTCGAGTTCTGGTTCACATCTAAGATGACAACCTCCTACTGCTATCAGTTACTCTGTTAGCTCAAATGACCTTGGTCTGTGTGGCAGATGTAAAGGTTTCAACCCTGCTGATTCATGAGTGTCAATATGATTCCACATGTTGGAATTTTACTTTTTTCACTTTTTTAAACATGCAGAAAATTGCATACCCTAAAATATGTTAAAAGAATATTAAGGTTACAAAGTCAAGCACTAAAATTAGGAAATGTCAGAATTAAGTTGGCTGTTTTACCTTAATTCACCTCTCACAGGTGGTCCCCAATTGTGTTCTTCGTTTTCTGCATGCCTGACTTGAGACCTTGGGGTCAGATTTGCAGAAATGCTGAGCACTCACAACTGCAACTGAAGTCAATGGGAACTGCTTTGAATATATTAGTGCTATATAATGCTATATACTCTGAAAACTCAGGTCCAAGGTAGCTCAGATTGGGTATGCCAAATTAATACAGGGGTACTGGAATAATTTGTATAGTGGACTGCTGACAGCCACTGAACCAAACTGTAAACTCTGTATATGATGGAAACCACTTCAAGCCAGCGGGTGCGGCAGCACCCCCAGCACCACTACTACCAGCACCTATGAATTAATGGATACTTTTGACCTTAATTCGTCTGCCTTAGTTCCCCATCTATAAAATGGGGATTATACCATCCCCTCACCTTTACGGAGCATTATGAAAATAAAGTAATGTTTGTGAAGCACTCATTTATTAGTGATGATTGACATAGATAGGCCCATGAGGAAATTAATAATTCTTTTTTCAGAGCAGGGTACAAATAGTGTGCAAATAATAAATAAAGGCCTGGGACCATACATTCAATAATAGGGCGGAAAAAAATATTGAATAGCAGCTAATTAAGTGAGCACCGTGCACTGAATGTGGCAGGAGTCCTGTGGAAAAAATAGTATGTGACCATTTAATTAAAAATTTATCGTATTGAATACACACAATTAAAGTTGCACAGGTGAGCTTAAGTCTGGCACTTGCTCACTTTTGGGAGCTTGACTACAACCATAATGTGCTTTTAATATATCTTTGTGTATGTAACATAACATTCAATTTGAAAACCGTACAAAACAAAACTAAAGTTAATTTCTAAACAAAATTTAGAAACAGATTTTGAATTTTATCAGCTTTTATTTTGCAGCAACTAAAAGTTCTTGATATGAAAGTAAGGTGACATTAAATGAAAAATATGGCTTTGGATGTGGAGGAAAAAATACTTTTTCATCGGACTTAGTCTCTAGAAAGAGAAAGATATAGTTCACTTGACTGAAGTCCTAAAATAGCTGTATATTGATGATCTCTAGTTTAATATTTGGCCACAGAGCCAAAATATTCTCATCAAAGCTTTCAGTCTGCACGCTAAGGTTGATTTTTAACATGAACAAAAAAATGTTAAAATAACCAAAGTCAATTGTAATACTCTGTATATACAATGGGTGCTTAATCCAGCATCTTTTTCACACTTAGAATAGGTATCTAAAAGAATGTACCCAAGGTGTAGATTTATAGGTTATAAAACCAGAAGGGATAACTGTGACCATCTGTTAAGACTTCTTGTGTAAGGCCACAGAACTTCCCTGAATTAATTTTCTGTTTGAAATAGAACATATATTTTAGAAAAACATCTCATCTTGGTTTTTAAATGTCCAGTGATGGAGAATCTGCCACAAGCCTTGATATATTGTTATAGTGGTTAATTACTCTCACTATTAAACAAGGTTTGCCTTATTTCTAGTCTGAATTTGTCTAGCTTCAGCTTCTAGCCATTGCATCAGGTTATACCTTTGCTACATTGAAGAGCTTTCTATTATAATTTTTTTGTTCCCCATGTAGGTATTTATCGACAAATCACCCTTTACCCTTCTCTTTGCTAATCAAGTTCCTTGAGTCTTTCACTCTGAGATATGTTTTGAATCTTTTAATCATTGCTGTGGTTCTTCTCTGAATCCTGCTCCAATTTATCAATATCCTTCTTGAATTGTGTGCACCAGCACTGGTCACGGTGTTCCAATAGCAGTTGCACCAGTGCCAGATACAAAGATATATAGCTTGCCTGCTTCTACTTGATATTCCCTTGTTTATACATCCCAGGATCACAATAGTCATTTAGGCCACGGCATCGCACTGGGCGCTCCCGTTCAGCTGATTATCCACCATGACTTGCAAGTC